CCTCAGCCAACAGGGCTGTGAAGGGGCTTCCCGAACTTGGTACCTTCCAGATTGGTGGGATTCAGCTCCCATCGTCCTGCGCCTAACAGGGCTGCTAAGGAGGAGGAGGATGTGCCGTGTACACTGTCTTGAGCACCTGAGTGAAAAGCGAGAGATAGCTAAGGTCTATGGCAGTGTTGCCCAAACTTGGCCACTTTAAGATGAGTGGACTTCAACTCCCAGAATTCCCCAGCCAGCATGGGTGGCTGGGGAATTCTGGGAGTTGAAGCCCACTCAAAGTGGCCAAGTTTGGACAACACTGGTCTATGGAGTAGTGGGAATTGTGTGAGGATGGAAGAAATGTATAATAGATGGAAGGGAAAGGAAAAGGTGGCAGTAAATAAACAGGCCAGCCGGAGCAGGATGTGCAAGTGCCTTCAAGTCCACTCTAATACCGGCAGTCGGGTTTTTCAGATCTGATAGAGCAGATAAACACGACACGGCCTTTTGGTTTGCTTGCTCTGAGCTTCTGTCCTGTGCATCAGGCATCTGGGGTAACCCCGGGGAAACTCCCCAAAGAGGCTGACAGAATCGTGAAGCTTATATACATTCAAAGTGCTTCTTGTGGCGTGAACCTGTTGCAGTCTGCACAATCTAGCGTGGAAAGACAATGCGAGCACGATGGGGTTGATAGAGAGTAACTTATAAAGGTCCTCCAGTGCATTTGTGATAGAACACAATTTGAAATTCAGAGGTGGTGACCTGCTGTGTTCTGTTTCAATCTCTTAGCGCCAGTGTGTTCAGCCAGTTGTTTCCTTAACTTTGGAAATAGATGTACCAAGAAGTCAAAACAAATGTCTAGTACTCTGAATGATATTATAAAATGAGCAAGAGGCCCACAAAGTTATGTAAAAACAAGTAGAATAGGTTTTGTATGACCAGTACTGGTTAAGAATTCAGGAGATGGTCTGAAAAAGAGAGAGGGTGTGCCAGTTTGGTTTAGCGGTTAAGGCACTGGGCTAGAGGCTGGGAGACTGAATTCTAATCCTGCCTTAGGCATGAAGCCAGCCATGACTTTGGGCCACTCACTCTCTCTCAGCCCCAGGAAGAAAAAGGCAAGGGCAAACCACCTGAAATCTTGCCAAGAAAACTCCAGGGACTCATCCAGGCAATTGTCAGGAGTCAACACTGACTTGAAAGCACTAAAAATAAAATAAGTGTCTGAAAAATGTCAAGACAGCTCCATGTATAGAATGCATTGCAGTAAACTTAGCTGGAGGTTATCTGAGTCAACCCATTTCTCTCCAGGTGGGGTTGCAACTATCACAGCAATTTTAGCCAGTGGAGAATACCTGCCATGGTGTGCAGTAGCACAAGATTGTAGTATTACTCCCTATGCGGGCTTGAGATAGATTCCATATTTCGCTGTTCAGTTGCAAAAAAATTTTTTTAGAATGAATCTGTTATTCTTGCATGTCTGTGTTGTATCAATTTCTTTATGTTGATAGCATGTTTTGAATATTACACTATGCTATTTTGAATATCAGTTGCTGTTTTTTTGTTGATTTGAAATTAATAGTTTGCATTAGAGATGTGTTTTTGTTACTTAAATTGGCTGGCTAGGATGCTAGCCCAGGATTTTAAATATGTAAATTGTGGCCACAATTACAAGTACAGTATTGTTATTCTGCTTACTCCATGTAAGGGACTATTTGCATGTGTGGGCACATGATAGAAGCATAGGGTGTGAAGAGACAGTTTTTTAGTTAGATAGATCTCTGTGTATAACTAGTTAGAAGACAGAAACATTCGTTGGAGATTCTCCTAAATTCATCTTTAGTCATTGAGGTTTCAGTGGTTTAGTATCAGGTTCATCTGATTGTAGGCTGCAATTCTCTTAAGATATTGTAGAAAAAAGCATAATTCCTTAGAATTTGTTATTCAGATCTGTGTGCAAATGCTTCTGGTTCACTTGCATCTAACTGCACCTGTCCTCTCCTTAGAAATTTAGGGTGATATACTCTCATTTGATGATCATGATGATTCTCTGGGGTTGATTAGGTTAAGACAGAGCCTAAAGGTCTTCATAAGTTTTGTGATTAAATGAGGTGCTTTTACTTTGTTGGGACTGGAAGCAAAGCTGCTTCTTTTACCCTTTAGGCATGTTCTCTCCATCTGTTACCCTCCAGAGTATTGGGTCCACAAGTCCTAGACTTCCCACCCACTATGGGGATTACTGGCCCAATAGATTGGGAAGGTGGCAAGTTAGGAAAGACTGGCCTAGATTGAGGCCAGCCACACTGTGCCAGCAGTTTCCTAGGGCTCTCAGCACATTTGGGAGGCACAGGGGTAAGGAAGACTAAACTTATGTTAGGGATCTGAAGAACAATAAATATGAATGTTGCAGCTGCTAAGCATGACTGTAAGAGATTTGGGGTGGGAAAAAGACACTATTCTTTCTGTTTGCAGATTATTCATAATACAGGGTCCCTAGGATTTGTAATTATATTCAGCTTTCTGGCCTTGGGTCAAAATAGATTAAGTGGTTTTTATATTGCACATCAGGTTTTCTTAGGTAGCAACGAGTAGGTTTAACAGTGGAAAACTTATCAGATAATTCTGTTCCAGGCTGAAGTCCTTCCATGAGGTACTGTCAGCTTGGAATTATAGGTATCGAGCTAGCCATGATTATCTTCAGATGTCAAAATGTGCATTGTGAGGTCATGGCCCAAACTCTGCCCTTTCGTACTTATGTCTCAAGGGCAAAATCTGAAATTGCAAATATCTAAGGAGCAAAGTTCATGTTGTGACACGTATTTTATCCTTCCCCTCCCCATGCTATAGGAGCTACGGCAGAGGTCATGGGGAAGCTGCTTCTCCTGACTAGTCAATACAGTGAGTTGGGCTATTGCATAAGGTTTATATATAGCTGTTCACAAGCAGATTGTTTGGCACTTCTTAATTAACCATTTATTGGATTCTACTGCAGGAGGCATTACCTGTGCCATTAAAGTTAATGGTAGTGATGGAAGAAATCAGGGAGCCAACACTGAATCTTGGCATTTTTTTGCATAAAAAGCTAATTATGGGAGTTTTATTTACATTTTCAAGACTACACTTTGTACTTAAAAAAAACCCAATTTTAAAGCTGAAATATGAATATTTTGAATGCTTCATTTGATATTGGAAAAATAATTGGCACTTGGCAAATGGGAGTCTAATCTGGATGGTTTTCTTGGAGGAGATTAACGTGTCAGAGCTTAGCTCATGGATGACATCATGGTCCTTGGTGTAGCATCAATCTGAACTTGTAAGGACCAGCATAAATACATTTTTAAGCAATGGGAATTCAGTGCTAAAATGTCTGCATTGTTTTTACTTTATTTACACAACCTTATTACTCCCTTGCACTTCTTCCAAGAAACTCATTCTATTAAATGCAAGCTATATGTCACATTCTTTCTACATTAAAAAAAAACCCCACAGTTTTCAAAATATCTTCATTACTGGTACTAGTGAGAACTGAATTAAGCTTTTAGGACACCTCCCAACACATAGAATTATACTCCACTTCAGTTGGAAGACACAGTGTATCTTAGTGTACCTCACTCTACGCTTAAGCTTTGCAAAGGAGTATGCTGAAAACGAAAGGCACACACTCTTGTCCTTTTAAAGCATTTTGTGTTTGAGAGGATTCTCTGAGGTCATTTTAACCTCTTTAAATTATTTGGTTGTGTTTACTTGGTGGAAAGAACTCAAAGCAGCCAAGTATTTATTCCATAAGTCAGTATACTTAATTCTACTTCAGGTTTCAGCTTAGATCAATTTCTGAGATGACTTTGGTTTTGCTAAGGTCGTAGAAGGAAAAAAAATGGGAATGTTAAATATCCACCCAGTTTCCCAAACTCATTTGTGTAAACATCTCTTCCTGTTCTTTAGGAGTTTCCAGAAGGGAAGCTGCGTTGAAACTGGGAGAGGAGTTAGAAGAAGGAATTGACTTTGAAGCGATCTATTTTAGCCCTTCTTGGCGGTTGGGGATTTGGGTCTCAAAGGATAGACCACGATATTTAATATTTGGCTCTTGCCACAAAAAATCTGTTTTCATCATTGGCTGCAATGCAAATAGCAAAGGTCATTGTCTGACTAAATGCAAGAGGAATTACTTTCAGTGTCTTAAAAGCAAATGAAATTGGAGTGTGTGTGAGAAACCTAACCCAGGGCAAGACTGCATCTAATTCCTGTGAGTCATGGATGCAAATCTCAAAGTCTCTTCCAAAATTGCTAAATCATAATGTTTAATGTGACATGCAAAATGTAAAATGCTCAATAAAGAGAAACATATTGGATGCATTATAAATGTGTGAAACTAAATCAAATTTATTTTTTGGCCTGGCTATTCCTATTTTTTGGAGGGTACCACTCAGAGGGATTAGTTTTAAAGTGAGTTCTAAATACTTTTAAATTAAAGAGGTTTAAGTACAGTATTTGTAATCTTAATTGTATTTTGTGCATTGGCATTGTTAAAAAAGTGAAAATATGGACATATATTCTGTAAATCAAATAAATGTGTATCTGGTTTTATAAAAATATAAGAATCATCTTATTATTTTAGCAGATTATTTAGAAGAACTTCCTGAGACAGATGAGCCCGCCTGGATCTTAGGAAGGCAGCACCACCTGAAAACAGGTACATTTGGAATTTAAAAAGTCACATAAGTTTTATTACTTCTCTAGCAATCTCTAGAAAGAGTAGAAATCCTTGAAAATACACATATGCAAGTTATTTATGACAAGTGCTTTTAGGCCGCTTAAAGTAAAAAATGATTGAACTGGCCTAAAAGCACTTGTCATAAATAAATATGCCAAATGCTGTTGGTGATAGGCTAAAGGTAATTTTACAGAAGTAGAACAGAGTGCTTATAAAAACAATCCATGTACAGATCATTAGGAGACAAGAATTATTTCTAGTATTTGGAAGAATAGTTTATTGTCAGAAATGTCTAATAAAGTAATATTTTTCCTTACCAAAAGGAATATTTTTATAAAAAATGAAAAAGAGGAGGACAGGTTTAAAGGACAAGGTTCCAGTTCAGACTTGTCCCATATACTTTGAATTGAGAGGAATTAAGCAAGAGAAAAAAAATCATCTCACTTCTGCAACGAACCATCAGACACCGCATTGCCTTTGGTGAATGAAAAGGGAGTTAGGAGGGAAATGTAGCTTTTCAGCAAGGAGGAGGTTATTTAGAAACAGGTTTTACGCTTCTGAATGTCGTCTTCGCACAGCAGAGTATGAAATGAGAAATACCAGGTCTGACATGAATACAGCATTTGTTTTTTTTTAATAGTGTTTTATTGGAATTTTAAAATTACAAAGTTAAAAGTTAGAAATGAAAAAGAAAATTGAAAATACAAATTATAAAGAAAAGGAAAAGAAAAAGTGAGATAAAGTAAAAGAAAAAGAAAAAAAGATATGAAAAATAGATAACTTCCAATCTATCTCTGGTCTTAGGAATAATAAGAGTATCATAAGAGTTAGTTAACTTCCAATCTATCTCTGGTCTTAGGAATAATAAGAGTATCATAAGAGTTAGTTAACTTCCAATCTATCTCTGGTCTTAGGAATAATAAGAGTATCATAAGTGTTAGTTTTTATGCATTAAGTAGGAATAATTCTTTGTCAAAACATATCCCATTAT